CCTGAGCCTGTTCTAAAGTTACAGTCCAAGTGTAGTGGTTTGAATGAAAATGGGCCATAGACCCACAGGGAGTGGCACTATCAGGAGATGAGGCTTTGTTGGAGTAGGTGTGGTCTTGTAGGAGGAAGTGTGTTACCACGAGGGGCCAGCATAGAGGTCTCAGAAGCTCAAGCCAGACCTAGCAGGCTCACTGTCTCTTCCTGCTGCCTGTGGATCCAGATGTAGAACCCGCAACTCCTTTTCCAGCACCATATCTGCTTGCACACTGCCATGTTTCCCACTATTATGATGATAGACTAAACCTCTGAAGCCATAAGCCAGTCCCAGTGAAATTTTTTTCTTTATAAGTGTTGTTGTGGTCATGGTGTCTCTTCACAGCAATAGAAACTCTAACTAACATGCCCAGTCTCTGTTTCTTTTGCTGTTCTAGACATTTCCTGTTGGTTCAATGTGGGAGCTTATGGTGACTCTTTTCATGGTGGCAGGATTTGGTCTTCCTCCTTTGAGTGAGGTGACACATGCCAATGTGAAGAGAGACAAGCTTTTGTTGCGTTAGGTTAGGACTCGGCTTAGTTATAATGTTGTAGTATATCCTAACATACTGCTTTCATTTTTACAGATTTGGTTCTGTGTTGATCATACTTCCTTCATTTCCTAGGGTGGAAAGTAGGTGTTCAGAGCTTCATGTATCACATACATTGAATAACATGAAGGCTATTCACATGTACCGAGTATAATAAATACTCCCATGTATGTCAGATGTTATAACCATTGATTTATCCTCAGGAGTACTTCCACTTTTTAAAAGACTCTGATGGGGATGTTCCAGAAGATACGTGCCACTCAGGGCCAACACTGATGGAATGTTCTAGAGGACACTTGATACCATGGCTGACACTGATGGGTGTTCTAGAGGACACGTGACACCATGGCTGACACTGATGGAGTGTTCTAGAGGGTATGTGATACCATGGCTGACACTGATGGAATGTTCTAGAGGACACGTGACTTCATGGCTGACACTGATGGAATGTTCTAGAGGGTATGTGATACCATGGCTGACACTGATAGAATGTTCTAGAGGACACGTGACTTCATGGCTGACACTGATGGAATGTTCTAGAGGACACGTGACACCATGGCTGACACTGATGGAGTGTTCTAGAGGACACGTGACATCATGGCTGACATTGATGGGGTGTTCTAGAGGACACGTGACACCATGGCTGACACTGATGGAGTGTTCTAGAGGACATGTGACACTCATGGCCAGTTGAAGGAGAAAGGCTGCACTAGAAAGACAGAATCCTAAAGGGTGAGTTTCCATTTTATTTTTTCTGTATAATCTCTCCCTTTCCTTGAGTGGCAGGAAAGTCCTTGCAATTAAATGTAAAATATTTTCCACTCAGAATACTTTGTGTTCCTATATCATCATATTAAATAACCCCAACTTCTTTTTTTAAAACTTTGGATTAAAATTTGACTAGTAGAAAAAGTAAAAGTGGTAGTACAAGAGTAATGGAAAAAATTAATCTGTATGCCATACTTTAACTGACCTAGGGCTGTCATTCTATTTATGAAACACAGTTATTAATATCTTACTTCAAGAATATGCTTAAGTTATATTCCAACTCTGCTTGGTAATGCATTTGAGCTGCTCAAAACTCACGAATTGTGTATGGGAGCAGCAAGGAAGAATTAGAGACAAACACTCGAAGTCTATAATATAATTGAGGTCAGAGGAAATCAAAACCTTACATCATTTTCCAGTATATTAAGCATTTACAGTGTGACTTTGAGTGTAGAATATGGGATTGTACTGTGCAAACCTTGTCCTTGCTGGATATGAAAGGCAACTTGTACCATGGCTCCCCATCGTGTGGCACTCATGCATGGTGTAATCCTCTCTCCTTGAGTGTGGGCTGGACTGGTGATTGCTTCCCAAACAGTGACAGTTTCAGTTCAGAGGTTCAAGCAGAGAAAGGTCTGGTGTTCATCTGTCTCACTGTCTTTGGTTCTCTTACTTGCTTTACTTGATGGAAACAAGACGCTGTCTTCTGAGTTGCCTTATAGAGGCTCCGGTGTCAAGGAACTGAGAGATGCCTTTAGTCTACTGGCAACCATGGGAGGAAGTTTAGAAGTGGTCTTTCCCTCAGTAACCTTTATGTGATGCCAGCTATAGCTGACACCTTGGTTTTTACATTGAGGGTGTCCTGAGCTCAAACCCCCAGGAAAAAAGCACCAAGATCCCTGATTCACATTAGGTCTTAGTTGCCAAAAGTTTACTTGGTAAAATTGTAGGTGAAAAGGTGTAAAGCTAGCAAACTTATATATAGAATATTAAATATATGTAAAGCATCTTTAATGGAAATATGCTTATAGATCAATGCTACTTTACAGAGGATGTGGTATTGGGAGGTGATTATACCACATATAACTTGATGGTCCAAATGTTAGGAAGAAGTCTTGATCAGGAGTTCATCATTATACAACACACAGCTGATTTTTACTACCTATTTGTCCTTTGCCTGTAAGTTAAATTTTATAGATAAAATAAAACCTTTTGAAATTTATTCATCACTCAGGTCTTTGAAAAGCAATTCTTTTTTTTTTTTTTAAATTATTTACAGTGTTCTATCTGCATGCTAGAAGAGGGCACCAGATCTCATTACAGATGGTTGTGAGCCACCATGTGGTTTCTGGGAATTGAACTCAAGGACCTTTGGAAGAGCCAGTGTTTTTAACTGCTGAGCCATCTCTTTAGTCCTTAAAAAGCAATTCTAAGAATGAGTATTAAAGAGTATATTACTAAAATAAGGTGATTCTGTGTTCTCTCTTGGATGCAGATCCAAGAGATGTATATTTTTATATATGTGTATTTATGTGGGAGTCAGTGTGGCCAGAGGCCAGGAAATCATAAAGGGACTCACGAGAGAGGGAAAAAAAGACTTTGAGGGAGTAAAGTGAAGAACAGAACACATATTGTGAGAAAGTGGAAGGGTCCTTCTTGAGGATGGAGGGATACAAGGAAAGGAGGGGGGAGGAAAGGAAATACCAGGATTTGGGAGAGTGGGGCAGGAGTCAGGTCAAACTCAGTGTGTATGAGAATGCCACAAGAAAAGCCATTACTCTGTGTGCTAATGTAAAAGGGAAACAACCTGGAATTAGAACACAACAGTAATTGTACAATCTCATGGCCAATATCCCTGCCCTGAATTATTTGATTTAGAAAGGAGACCTGCATGGCACATGGCTTTTATCAAGTCTTTAAAGACTCTAGTAGTGAGAAATAAAGCAGGAAAGAATTTTATAAAACTGTTAACAACAACAACAACAACAACAACAAATAAATGTTAGTGTCAAATACATGTACACAGAGAAAGAGAAGCAATACAGCAAATGGGATAAAATGCTCACATTAGATCAATCGATGGAGATGAATTTTATGTACTTTTTTATTGTTGCAGGTATTCTATAAGTATAAAACTGTCTTCAAATAAAAGTTTCTTCAGCATATATAAGGTAGGCTATATATTAATATAAATAAAAATAAAAAGTATACAAAACTGTGAGTGTGCTGGGCTGTGGTGGCACACGCCTTTAATCCCAGCACTTGGGAGGCAGAGGCGGATCTCTGTGAGTTCGAGGCCAGCCTGGTCTACAAGAGCTAGTTCCAGGACAGGAACCAAAAAGCTATGGAGAAACCCTGTCTCGAAAATTAAAAAAAAAGCCAAGATTTCTCTTCTGTAAAAAATAATTAAACACCATAGGGTCTGTATTTAAAAAAAAAAAAACAACTGTCAGTGTTCTGCTTATAACTGAATTGCCAAGGGTATGAGGAAGCAGATCTGATGTATGGATAGCAGGGAATTTGACAGGTATTAGAAGATTTGAAAAACAGGTGCCTCAGTCTCCTCAGTCCCCTGCTTCTCATAGAATAAATCAAGTGGTTACTAAATTTAGTTCTGTACCCATTATGATACTTTGCATAGGAACCACAAGTGTTTATCAATTAATGATACTTTATGTTAAATTCTGTGGTTATACAATGCTGGCTTACTCAATACATGAAACAGTTTGGTCTTCCTCAGGAAATTTAAGCATTGGCTAGTTACTCTGCTCAACTGTGCAATCAGTCAGTGTAACATGGTAAATGGGAGCATGTGTCCTTAAGTAATTGAGGTTAAACACCTGCAAGGGACAGCGCAGTTCACATGATTTGCTGTTAAGTAGCTGTATTGTCAGCCATTGAAAGTATTCAAATGACCAAGAAATATTGCTGTACCTAACTACCAGCAATATAAAGTTGATGAGGGGGGTAATGCTATAGGACATGAATCAATCAGCTAAGAAATATTTGCACTGGATAGCCACACAAGGTGAGGGTTACAACCCAGAGAGGCTTTTGGGAAAAGCCTAGGCCTCCAACACACACACACACACACATACACACACACACACACATACACACACATACACACTACACACACACACATGCATGCACACACACCACTTTACAAAAACCCAGGAGCAAAACAGCAGCAGCAACAACAATAACAACAAAATCACCCATGGAAATATGGCTGTGGGGATACAGAGACATCTGGACCCTCTGTCACTTTTAAAACTGAGTCTGTGGTAACTTCCTGTGGTGTTTGTCTGAATCTGAGCTTAAGGCCTCATGTTAGCTAGCGCTTTGCTGTCATTCACCTGGTGACTTTTCTCAATGGGAGTCTTATTTTAGAGCTTGTATGTATTGGATTTTCAGCAGTGGGAGGGAAGAGGAAATCAGGCAGTGTGTTGTTGGAAGCAGAGTCTTTGTGTCACCATGGAGTTCATCCTTACCTATGCTCTGAGGGGAGAACATAGCCCTTCTTTGCTCCCCAACTGATGGAGGAAGGTCATTGGTTAATTAATAAATAAACTGCTTGTCCCTCATAGGTTAGAACATAGGTGGGTGGAATAAACAGAACAGAATGCTGGGAGGAAGAGGAAGTGAGCTCAGACTCGATAGCTCTGCTCTCTGGAGCAGACGTGGTGAAGCTCCGACCCAGGATGGACGTAGGCTAGAATCTTCCTAGTAAGTGCACCTTGGGGTGCTACACACATTAATAGAAATGGGCCAAGCAGTGTTTATAAGAATACAGTTTGTGTGTCGTTATTTTGGGGCATAAGCTAGCCAGGCGGCTGGGAGCTGGGTGGCAGGAAGCAGCCCGCAGCTCCCACAACACCCAACTGTCACCACATCTGGAAATCTAGACTATTTTGCTCCTAATGACCTTGTGACAAAGTCCATGTTTGTCGTGACTGAGGATCATGTGAGGGAGGATCAGCGTAAAGATGATCACTGTCAAAAGTATATTGCCACATCTAGGAAATGAGATAGAGAGGCCCATGTGCATAGCATATTTTGTTCTGAGGATTACATTTTTGGAATATCATGCTTATCAAAAGTGCTGTAAGGGAGGCAGGATTTTGTGGAAATGATGTAGAGTTGGAAGCCAGGCAGATGCAGATGAAGTCCTGGAATTGCCAGTTACTAATTATCCCGTCTTTGGCAAATCACCAAATGGCCAGGGGTCACAGTATTCTGATTTGTAGAAGAGAAATAAATATATACACCACGTTGTGTTGTAAAATTCAAAACTTATCTTTAGCAGAGTATATAGTGTACATCAGGCATGTAGTGAATGTTAGCTACAATGCATAGAATAACTAAAGTCAGGGAATTGCTGACCATGCCCAGTTCAGAACGGTAATCAGCAGCTAATGTTTGTTGTGGGTACCAGGTTCTGGCATGCTTGCAATTCCATTTTCTCATTTGATATAGCAGGATACAAAGGTTAAAGTCATTGAAAGGCATGGCAGAAGCAAAATAAAAAGGGACAGAGTTGGGGCTTAAAAGCATGTTATTTGATCCCAGATTCTATATTTTGCCACAACAAAACAAACCTCTCAGAACTACCTTTTCCTTTGAACTTCTAGGAACCATTGTTTTCGTCACTCATTTGGCATTTATTACCTGCTGTTTTGTTCAGTTATTTTTATTGATTTATTATTTATTTATTTTATGACTTCCTCCCAGTGAGTTTGGAATGGGCATCATGCTTGATGACTCTGTGGCTACCACAATTTTCCAGTAGTACCTCCTTTGAGAAAACACCATATATGAAGAATTGGTATATCGGTGGGCTTTGGTTCTATACAACAGAAATAGATGGTTCTGCTGTCTATAACCAAAAAGATAACCTAAAGGAAGTCATATATGCTTTCACAGAAAGCAAAAGGACTGAAGGGGAAACAAGCTCATCCAGGAATGTTCTAGGGACAGAAACTACAGGACACTCTGTAGTAGGGAGGCCACTAGTTAGTTCCCGGCTGCTCAGCCCCAAAATAACTACACAGAAACTGTATTAATTAAATCACTGCTTGACCCATTAGCTCTAGCTTTTTATTGGCTGACTCTTACATCTTAATTTAACCTATCTTCATTAATCTGTGTATTGCCATGAGGCTGTGGCTTACCCGGTAAAGTTCTGTTTGGTTATGTCAGGGCTTCATGGCTTCTCTCTCTGCCTAGCTCTGTTCTACCCTACCAGGCCAAGCCAGTTTCTTTATTAACCAATTGTATTCACAGCATACAAAGGGGAATACCACATCACCTTCCCTTTTCTGTTTAAATAAAAGGAAGGCTTTATCTTTAACATGGTAAAATTACATATAACAAAACAGGTATTAAGTAAAAATTAGTTACAACATTTATATCTGCTTTATTTTTTATCATAACTAAGGAAAAATATAACTATAGGTATCTATTAAACTCCATCAAAGACTCCAGAAGGATATAATATTACCTAAGTAAACAGAAAGTGCATTGTAAACAACTTCCAAAACTCTAGAATTGATAGAGACATCTCGCTGCCTGGACAGTCACCCAAAGTTCTTCTGTAACCTTGTGGGCATATAATCTTCAGCCTACAGGCCCATAGTATCCAGCATATTTTTTCTTGAAGCAGGAAATTTTAAAGACAGTTTTACCTATATTGGCAGTTTGTCAGTCACATTTTTCTGTGTGCTGCAGAATGTCTAGTAGACTCTTTTATGAAGCAGGAATCCTGAATGATGGTAGGATGGTCTTACCTTTAGGCATGTTCAGCAGTCATTTTCCTATGGGTCATGCATGTCCAGTTCACACAACATACCATCAAGCAGTCCATGTAAGAGCAGTTTCTTGCCCCAAATGACTAGCAATCTCCATAAGGAGCTTCTTTGATGTCCATCTTCCTCTTTAAGTAATTGGTGCTACCAGAAGCAGATGTGTCTCATTGTCACAAAAAGTTCTAAGTTATTAAAACATTTAAATGCCATTTCTGGAGGTCTCTGAAAGATTTGAAGAATGCCTATCCATCTGAAATACATCTCTGTATATCTAGAAAAATCTAACTAACAAGCTTGACTATTATAGACGATTATCTATTAACTTTTATTTATTAATTATACATTACATTTTAAATGAGCTGCACAAACACAATACCTTAATCAAGAGCAGAAATACACATATAACAAAATTGACCTTAGATTTATATCAATAAACCAAGATCCATACCAATGCAATCTCTATAGCATATCCCCCTTTAAATGTAAACAAACATTTATAAACAATCATCTAGGGGATTTGGACATAGTTCTCTCCAAACTGCTTCCTGCTTTTTGTTGGGTGAAGTAATTTTTGGGGGTTCTCACAGAGACCTTTTGGTGGTCTTGGCCCATCAAACCACATTAGTCTGGAAGAATTCCACAGGCTCACATACTCTGTGGAAACAAAAGAAGAATGTCTTTCCCAAAGTAACATATTCCTAGACCCAAATTTTGATATCAAGATACCTTTAGAGTATATATGCTGGTTTATTTTAACAATCTGTGCAATGAAATGTCTCTCTGTATTTAGCTCCTTCACAGTCAAAAAATTTAAAGAAAACACAATAATGTACATAATCCAGACTGCCTGTGTATTTTCCATTTTTACCTGGCTTATATTTTTTACTCTATTACTTTTTAATATTTATTTTATTATCTTTACTCCTTTTATCTATGACTGTACTCTGTCTCTTTAAAGACTTTGTTTTTTTTTTTAAACCATTTATTTCTTTTTATAACTCTCTATACTCTTTTTCTTCTCTCTCCCAGGCCTATATACATTTTTAAAACACCCTGTGTTGTGTTTATAGGTTTTTTATGTCTGAATCTGTCCTTAATGTGAATATGTAATTCTTTTCTGTTCGGGAGCATTTCTTAAAATGCTAAGTGCTTCTTAAGAACCGAAGCTTCAGCATTACTAGGGGAAATATGAAGCTGTCTGCTTGCTCCACTTAGTCAAGCATGGCAGAAGTCTGTTTACCAAGACTTGTCTTTTGGCAAATGGTGGCTTTCTGGTGCATGCTGCCAGCATGAACTCTGGCTCTTTCAGGAGGCTGAGCATTTAAATGGAGCTTGTGGGCAGTGTGCTGCAAGTTACGTGGTGGCAGCATGGGCCAGCTGGTTATCAGAATTGAGGTGGGGAGGACAGCTTCCATCTGGCAGTCTCATCTCTGGTGAAGTCTAGATGACCTTTCTCAACCATAGCTCTTCTGAAAGGAGGCAGGGCACTTCTCCAGTAACTCATCAGAAAGCCTGTGATTGCTCAATGTGGGGCTTATGTTTGATCCATGAACCAGACTTGTGTTGCAGCTGATGTAAGGTTCTATAATTGGCATAACTGGAAGTCATGCACTCCCATAAAAGACTGTACATAATTGGTGGAATTACAATCTGATTGGAAGCATGCCATGGCCTTTTCCAGCTAGACAGTCCTGAGTAATGTGGAAGCTTTGATACACCAAGACTAGGAGATGAAATACCAGTTACTGGGTGCTGGGCCATTGGCACACAAAGCCCAGAGCAATAAGCGTCCTGTCTCCACATGTAGAACTTTGAGCCTCTGGGTTTTAAAGCCTGGAATCACAAGCACCTGTCACTCAAGATCTTAGGGCTCTTGGCACAGTGAGAGTTGCTTCATGACTATCTATCATGTCCATCCAAACAGAAGGACTCTTCACCCAGCTGTTGGTGATAGTGTGCTAGATAGTTTCCATTGGTCACCTTGTATTATCTCTCAAAGGGGTCTCTGTTTTCCTGAAGTGCTGGGGATGAGCTCACGGGCTGCACATTCTAGGCAAGCATGCCTCCACCAAGCAGTAGGCTCTACTAATAATTTTATTTCACAAATAAAAGACAGGCATGACATAAAATTAAAGAATGTGTTTTAGGCTGCTCAGAAGTTAAAAAGTTCATTCTTCTGAAACCCTAGAAAAAAATCTTAGCCCCACCTTACATCATTGTATATCTCAGAATCAGGGGCTTTCATTTTATAATTTCATTGCAAATTGAGAAAATGTGACAGGATGCACTTCTCATCTTGATCCACTCACTAGAAGCATTTGAGAGCCAAATAGGAAACGTCTGTAATGCAAACAAATGGTTCTCAATAGTATATGACAGTCTATTTCCACAGGGAAATAAAGGGTTATCCTGTCATAGATTTAAACATAAATAATAAAGCTCATGAGAAACTGTAAGTGCTACATAGTCATGATTCTAAAAAAGGAAAAGTAACTCCTCTTGATATTTTAGGATCGCTTCAAAGAAGGGCTGGAGAGATGGCTGAAGCTCTTGCTGAAGGTGGCCCTCAACTACTTGGTAACCCCAGCTCTAGAGGGGTCTGATGTCTCTGCTGGCACAAACGTGCCCATATCCACACACAGCACACTCATACACACACAATTAAGAAATAAAGTGAATCTTTGCTCTTAAAGACTGCCTTAGGGAAACCACAGAACTGCTTTCTAGGTTTTCACAGTTAGGCAACAGTCTTGTCATAATTGAGGTTCCATGGTTTCAGTTATCTATAATCTAAAAACATTAAGTGGGAAACTCCAGAAACAGATAATTCATGAATTTTAAATTGCTGGCCACTCCAGTTGGTGTGATGAGACCTCATCCCTTTCTTTATCATCATTCCTTTCCCAGTGTATCTATGCTGTA